AAAAGATCCATTTTATCTCGCTGTGATAATCCCCTCGCAGCCCAGCTTGCTAGTCTGCATCCATGGAAGTCATGCCAGCTGTTTCCGGGGACACAGAACCAACCCCTCCCCCAACCTCAATAGTTTTAACTCCCCCCCCCCCCCCCCGTTGGCAAGTTTCCCATGTTTATAGGGGAATATTTCTAACCAGTTACAAGTCTGCAGTTACTAGGCCATTTAAACCTCTCCTGTTGACACTCCCACCACAACCCAAGGGCACTGTTACACAACTTGATATTTCTGTCACCCTGCTGTGGGGTCACCCAACAGGCCAGGGGGGTGGGGAGGGGAGATCACAAAGGGATATAGAGGCCAAGACTCAGGGGGAGGGAGAGTAGGGGGTGGATGCTGGCTGGACCAATGGAATCAGACTCCTTCCACGGTGGATCCTCTACTGTGTACAGCACCTGGGTCCTACTGTCATGAACGGGATTCACAGCCAGCCTCATTCGAGCGGGGTTAGGAGCCCATCTCATTTCTGCTCAAGGCCCGACAGCCGTGGCAGCTGAACCTGTCCAGCCTGGAACAGGCCAAACCAAAAAAGCCTGCCACTAAATTTAGCCAGGCCTTTAAAAAAAAAAAAAAAAAAAAAAAAACAATAAAAATATAAAAGAAAAAAAAAAAAAAAAAAAAAAAAAACCCCCATTTCCCATTTTAATGACAAACGCAGAGTGCAACAACTTCACCAGTTTCACAAACGGTTTTTATTTAACAAAAAAAAAAAGAATTAACGACACCATAGAGGAGGAAAGCCCAGTCCATGCCGTTTTCCCCCCCAAGACAATAAAAAAATGGAACTACAGATATAAATTACAAGCATTCAAGACACATGGGTAACACTGAAAAAGAAATGTCTCAACTGTGTAGGGTTTTTTCCTGGTTGTTTTAATCCATTCACTAGTTTCCTCTGCAGGCAACTAGCAAATTCAGGAAGCAAAGAATGATTTTTGTTCCTAGGTAGGACGTGAAGCCATCACGACATTCACAAACACAGACTGATATGTCCCTCCTCTCCTTAGATTTGAAGAGAACTTGAGGGGCATCTGATTTGAAACAAGACAGTGGTGTGCGTATGTGGGGGGGTAGATCTTAGACCCACTCGCCATGACAACAGGAAGAGATGGCTAATTCTCAGTGTTTTACAAGGGGATTTGAACATGTCAATTTTCCTTTGAAGATTCCAGGGTGACGGTGGGTGACCAGGAATTCTCCCCTTCTCAAACCCTCTTCTCTTTTGATCTTCAGCAATTCAGACCAAGAAGTTTAATAATCTTACACTGATTAGTTCAATGAACTCAAAACTTGGAGTAAAAGAAACTTCCCTCCACCACCCCCAGACTGAAGAGGAAATAAAAACCCTCCTGAGTCTGTGACTTTCGTAGGGGTTTTTTTTTTTTTTAAACCTTTATTTGATTTTTTTTTTCCTTTTAAGAGCCAGCAGCACAAGGCAGCCTCGTCTCAGTTCTCCTTTAGAGGGTTAAATGAGTCAGGCTGACACACACCCCACCCACACCTTGAAAAACCAGCTCCACACACACACACAAGTCGACAGGCGGTCTGAGCAGGAAATTCCCTGCGGCCCTTCTAGACCCAGTGTGATGCAATGACTGGTCATATGAGTGGTGTGTCATAGCTGGTAGGCCTGGTGGAAGGGGGGGGGGGGAGTTTCCTTAATGAATCCTGGTTTGAGAGCTTATCCTTGGTTAAAGAAAAAAGGCCTCTTGAAAACAAAAACAAAACTTTTAAAAAGTACCCCTGAGGAAAGAAATCGAGTAAGCAGGACACCCATCTTCCACCATCACCCCATTTTCTGCGGGTGCTGGAGAACCAAGCGTGGGAGGCGGGCTAGAGAAAGCCAGCCCTCCCTCCCAACACAGAAAATCCCTTTCTTGACTATTTCTGGGCCCTGTGGCTCTCTCGGAAACCCCTTTCGCTCGCATCTGGCCCCCAGGTCTGCAGCCCACTGTCTGCCGCCCCCCCAGCAAACATTCTGCCATCACAAGGACACAGACCAACAAGGAGGAGGAGGCCAAAGTTTTAAGTTACAAAAAAACCACCACCCCCCCCCCCCACCCCCGAGGGTTGGGGTTATGGAATAGCACCAGTGGATCCCAGGTCAGGATATAGCATTTCTCTACACAAAAATAAACCATCTCTCAGTGAGGAGCGGCCAGGAAATCTCGGGCCGGTTTGCGAGTCTCTCTTCCCCAGCCTGAAATTGGGCCAAAGTGCCCCCCCCTCCCGCCCCCGCCCACACACAAAGCGGCGGCGTCTCTCGGTCCCAGCTCCGGCGGATCCTTTTGTCTCGCCTCCCCCCTGGACCCAGCAGGGTGGGGAGGGGAAAGTCCGATCTTGCTTCCGCTGTGCTCTCGCTCCGTGCCCGGCCTCCGTGTGTGTCTCTCCCGCCCCGGGAGGCACGGCCGGCTCCCGCCCCCCCTCCGCCAGGGAGAGGGGGGCTGCGCCCCCAAAAGCGACCCCCCCCTCCTGCCCCATGGCTCCCGCCAGGAGCCGAGCGAGCCGCTGCGCGCCGCGGGGCAGGTCCCCCAGCCACGAGTCCCCCCGAGCGGCGGGGAAGGGGATTTAAAAGGCCACCACGGCTCGGACCAGTATGCTGAGCACCCCGTCCCCGGGCCGGCAGCCCGGCGTGGGCTCGGGGCCCTTGGGCGGGCCGCCCCGCAGCATCCCGGAGAAGCGGGTCTGCAGGACCTTGGCCAGGCTGGGGAAGGGGCCGTCCTGTCCCTGCGGCTGCCGCTCGCCCTCCTCCTCCTCCGCCTCCAGCCGGGCCTTCTTGGTGGGCACCAGCCCGGCCTCGGCGGCCCCCGGCTTGTCCAAGCTGCTGCTCCGCCGTTTCCTGCTGGCTTTGCCCGGGGGCGGCAACGAAACCCCCCGCGCCGGCCGCCGGCCGGCCGCGGGCGCTGGAGCCGCCGGGGGCAAGTCCCCGCTACTGTCCTGCGTCTCCATGGGCTCCGGATCGACGGCGCGCGGGGCGTTTCCACGGGCCACGGGGGCTGCCCGCTCCTCCGGCGCCGGCGGGCCTGGGGAGGCAGCGGCGGGCGGCAGTGGGGGCTGGCCGGCCCCTTCCTCCCCCGGGCAGGGCTGCGGCCCCAGCCGCCCCTCCTCGTCCTCCTCCAGCCTGGCCGAGAGATAGACCTCCCGGGCGCTCCGCATGACCAGCGAGAGCTGCAGGCTCCGGTGCAGTCGCAGGCCGCCGCGTTGCAGGCGGGAGTTGTACATCTTCCACACCGACAGGGTCATGATGCGCTGGGCTTCCTTCTGCACCTCCATGCCGGGCGGGGGCGCGGCTCGCTGGTGCACGGACCGGGCTCTTTGCACCGGCCGGAGACGGGGTGCGGTGTGGGGGGGGGGGGCTGCACCTGGGTCTTCCCACCCCCGCGCCTGCTGGAGCCGCGTCTTTGTGCCGCCGCCGCCTCGGACCCGCCGCCCCGACTAAGCCCAGCCGCGCCCAGCTCGGCTGCTTTTATACCCCCGGTGATCTCAGCGCCCGGGCCGCCCCCGCCCACTCAGTCAGCCGCATCCGGCCTGTGCAACGCGCCGCCACCCCCAGCGGCTAGTGGGGGGAGGGGAGGGAAGGACGGAAATGCCGAGGCGTGGGGGAGGGGAGCAGGAGGAAGCCGCCAGCCGCAGCAAAGCGGCTAAAGAGGGGGGGGGGGTCGATGCAAAGGGACCCCCCCACACACACTCGCTGCACGACCCCGCGGCCGCTTTTGCACAAGCAGCCAGCCGCCCGGCAGTTTGTGCTTTATTATGCGCGTCCAACGTAGCGATCGGGGCTTGTCTGCGCGCGCAGTGCGATGAACCATTGCCGCCGCCGCCCCGTGTGCAATAAAGCTCGCTGCACACGAACGCCCTAACGCGAGCCCACAAGCACCGGCGCCGTTTTAAGTGCAAATGCAACCAGCCGATGCCGCCTGTGAGTGGGACATTTCTGTGTCTCGGCAAAAGCACCGTCTCCGTTTAATGCGCTCTGCCAAATCAATCTGGCTCTGTGTGAGGCTGCAATCGCTGCTCGATAAAACGCACCTCGTGTACATGGAATGCAACCCCCCGGGCAAATGCAAACATCGCTTTCTCTGTGTGTGTGTAAACAGCGCGATCTGTGTTTAAAGCCACTGACTGGAGTCACTGCGACATCTGCGTGCTGGCTGCAAAATGCCCGCCTGTCCCGTGCAAGCGCTGTGTCTCGTGTCGTGCCAATAAACACCGTACTACAGCAACCCCCACCTCGGAGCCAGAACTCGCCGTGAATGAAATCTTCCCCCGTTCGTTGAGCGTGTGTGTGTGTGCCGGATGCACGCGGGGGCACTGCACTAGTGACACAAGCCACGCCACACTCGCCTGCCTGGGTACAAACGGCGCCGCTTTAAGCCCCTCCAGCGAGTGCAACATTTCCCGAATTGTTTATAAGAAACCCCCGGGGAGGACGCAGGGGGGGGGCTCAACTCCCACGCGAACCCGCTTCTCCTCTTTTTATTGGGGTCCTAATCGCAGCGCTGCAGAGAGGCCAAAATTAACCCCTCCCCCGCCCGCCTATGTGGCCAGGGGGTCGGTGCTGGGGCGCACGGATGGGGGGGGGGTCAAGCCCCCCCCCCATGTCCACGCTCTGCCACCTGCCCGCCCGCAGGCGCGCCCAGCACCGCGAGCTCTTGAAGAGGAAGGAAGAGGAGGACGGAGGCTCCGCCCCACTCTTGAGGTCACCCCAGCCTGCCCCGGTTACCGTTTCCATGACTATCTCAGGGGCCCATGACGACAGGGGGCGGGATCCGAACGCGGCGCGCACCAACGTTCCAAAAGGGGCTACATTTGCAGCCGCCTCGCTTCCTCTTTCCGTATAAGGGCAGAGGCTGGAAGGCCCCATTGTGGCCTATGGGGAGCGTCCTTCCGGGATCCTACCGGGAAAAACCCATCGGCTCGCGCTGCAAATCCCTCCCCCGCAGCCCGTCT